CGGCTCCATGTGGACGAAAGCAAAGAACGTGTCTCCGTCTCTGGACACAGACTCAGGTGTGACTGTCACATCACTGCACATTTCTCTCATCTGGCCAAGATTTGAAAACTTCTCTCAGGTTCTTCACGTTGTTTTCACATTTATGATCGACTCGTTCTGAATCATTTGTATAATCTGAAAAACTGTCACATATTTTTGTCCCATGACTCGACTCGTCAGAAAATCTTAAATTCAGACAAAAGAAAATTTTAAAAGAAGAAACTACAATCCATTTACCAGAGCAGATTCATGATTAGTGTAAACGGATGAACGACTCTCATATAGGACGAATTTCAAGAACTTAAGTCTAGAATTTTACTTCTTTGAATTTATTATCAGACCGTTCACACTCATCATAAACTTCTTTTGAGTTTGTTTATCTAGAATTTAGCAGAATTTAAAGCATTTTATCTAGAATTTGGCATCTGAGAATTTATTGGTAACACTTTATAATAACTACACCTTATTTAGCCTGAATAAAGCATGAACAAAGGCTTAATTAATAATGAACAAAGGCTTAATTAATAATGATTCATGCTTAGTAACTACTTAATTACTACCTTAATTAGCACTTGCACTTAATTTACCTGTGCTGTAAATAGTTACTCATAATTATTTCATACTTAATTACTCATTAACTAACCATTTGAGCATTTATTAATCATTAATAAACTATGAGAGAATGATTTACTAATAATGTAATGTAATGATCATTCATGCAGCTGTTATCTGTTAAGTCTTTTTGAGAGTTTTTCTTAAAGTGAAGACGAATTATCCTTTATTAAACATTTACTAAGCATGAATCATTAATAATTAAGTCTTTGTTCATTATTAATTAAGTCTTTGTTCATGCTTTATTCAATTCAATTTATTATCAGGTCATGAACATTGATCATAAACTGGTTTTAAATCTGTTTGTCTCTGAGCATCATAAACTTGTTTCCAGCCCGTGAACTCTGAGCACAGACGCCTCATTCTCGTCTAGAGGTCGATTATTTTAAGAAAACTCCTCCAGTAAAATGATTTTGCTGCGTGGACACGTCATTTCAACACTTTAAGTCATTTTCTGATCGATTTAAAATTGTGTAACAGTAAAAGTGCAGGTCACACGTTACATCCTCTGAAAACATCATTTACATTTCTGCTTCACGTCCTGTAGAACATCTGTGTGTGTGTGTGCGTGTGTGTGTGTGTGTGTGTGTGTGTGTGTGTGTGTGTGTGTGTGTGTGTGTGTGTGTGTGTGTGTCGTGTGTGTGTGTGTGTGTGTGTTCATGTGTGTGTGTGTGTGTGTGTGTGTCTGTGTGTGTGTGTCTGTGTGTGTGTGTCGTGTGTGTGTGGTGTGTGTGTGTGTGTGTGTGTGTGTGTGTGTGTGTGTGTGTGTGTGTGTGTGTGTGTGTGTGTGTGTGTGTGTACAGCTCTATTCTGGGCTCTGACAGGACCCGGGGGGGAGAGAGGCGGTCTCTACACACACACACACACGTACATATGTGTGTGTGTGTGTGGGGGGGGGGGGGGGGGGGGGTCCACTCCAGAGCAGCTATTACCCTGACAGGAAAGAGGAAGCCCCGCCCCCTGTGGTCACATGACTGCCAGCTGCACAGAGGAGGCGAGGGGCGGGTGACGCATGTGTCCACCAAGAGCTAATACTGGACATTTAACACACAAACAACACACAACACACAAACAACACACAAACAACACACAACACACACACAAACAACACACAAATAACACACAAACAACACACACACAAACAACACACAAAAAACACACAAAAAACACACACACAAACACACACAAAAAACACACAAACAACACACAAACAACACACAAAAAACACACAAACAACACACACACAAACAACACACAAACAACAACAAACACAAAAAACACACAAAAAACACACAAACAACACACAACACACACACAAACAACACACAACACACACAAAAAACACACAAACAACACACAAACACACAAAAAACACACAAACAACACACACACACACACAACACACAAACAAAACAACACACAAAAAACAACAAAAAAAAACACACAAAAACACACAAACAACACACAAAAAAACAACACACAAAAAACAACACACAAAAAACAACAAAAAACACACAAAAACACACAAACAACACACAAAAAACAACACACAAAAAACAACAAAAAACACACACAAACAACACACAAACAACACACAACACACACAAACAACACACAACACACAAACAACACACAAGAAACACACAAAAAACACACACAAAAACAACACACAAAAAAAACACAAACAAAACACAAGAAACACACAAGCAGCACAAGTTTTCAAATGTGGAACAAACTGAGCAACTGCAAAAAAAGTTTGTCCAAAATGTGAAATCTAAACACTTAAATGTATCAAAAAAATGACTTAAAAGTGTTGAAATGTTGTGTTTATGCAGCGAGATCATTTTACTGGACAAGTTCTCTTCAAATAATCGACCTCGAAACGAGAACGAAGCGTCGATCATAAACCTGAAGACAACATGAAGAACCTGACAAGTTTTTAAATCTTTGTCAGATCAGAGAAACGTGCAGTGTAGGGAGCAGTGTAGGGAGCAGTGTAGGGAGCAGTGTAGGGAGCAGTGTCACGAGTCACATTTACTGAACTTTCACCACAGAGAATCTGAGCAAAATAAACAAACAAACAAAAACTCAAATCCAAACTTAAATCATCTTTGCCTCAAAACCTCAGACTCTGGTCCAGTGTCCAGCAGCTCCAAGACGCACAGGTGTGAGGAGCACAGGTGTGAACAGGAGCACAGGTGTGAACAGGAGCACAGGTGTGAAGAGGAGCACAGGTGTGAACAGGAGCACAGGTGTGAACAGGAGCACAGGTGTGAAGAGGAGCACAGGTGTGAAGAGGAGCACAGGTGTGAACAGGAGCACAGGTGTGAACAGGAGCACAGGTGTGAACAGGAGCACAGGTGTGAAGAGGAGCACAGGTGTGAACAGGAGCACAGGTGTGAACAGGAGCACAGGTGTGAACAGGGAGCAGGAGCACAGGTGTGAACAGTGAACAGGAGCACAGGAGCACAGGTGTGAACAGGAGCACAGGTGTGAACAGGAGCACAGGTGTGAACAGGAGCACAGGTGTGAACAGGAGCACAGGTTGTGAACAGGACAACAGGAGCACAGGTGTGAAGAGGAGCACAGGTGTGAACAGGAGCACAGGTGTGAACAGGAGCACAGGTGTGAACAGGAGCACAGGTGTGAACAGGAGCACAGGTGTGAAGAGGAGCTGAAGACGTCAGGGCAAAACTTCTGCAGCTACAAACACACGAGATCGAGTGACGTGTGTTTTCATCGATACACAGGGTTTAGAATTGGGCTGATATGTAGGGACATTTTTATTATTTTCCCTTAATTATTCATTTTAAATTCACCACAAACTCACCCACAGCAATTGTTGAAACCAGAAACTTCAAACAGACCAGTGTCATCATATTTTCAAGCATTTAAATAAAAGTTTATGTGTTTTTTTAGGCAGCAGATCAACAAAAACAAAATATGAGCCTCTGCTGAAATTTAAGATGGATGTTTGTGGGTGTAGATGGGTGTAGGTGCTGGTGGGTGTAGTACCTTCGTGGGGTTGGGTGGTGCTGGGTGTGGGTGGTGCTGGGTGTGGGTGGTGTGTGGTGGTGTGGGTGTAGTACCTTCGTGGGGTTGGGTGGTGCTGGGTGTGGGTGGTGCTGGGTGGTGTTGGGTGTAATACCTTCGTGGGGTTGGGTGGTGCTGGGTGTGGGTGTAGGTGGGTGTAATACCTTCGTGGGGTTGGGTGGTGCTGGGTGTGGTGGTGTGTGGGTGTAGGTGGGTGTAGTACCTTCGTGGGGTTGGGTGGTGCTGGGTGTGGGTGGTGTTGGGTGTAGGTGGGTGTAGTACCTTCGTGGGGTTGGGTGGTGTGGGTGTGGGTGGTGCTGGGTGGGTGGTGCTGGGTGGGTGTAGTACCTTCGTGGGGTTGGTGGTGCTGGGTGTGTGTGGGTGTGCTGGGTGTGGGTGGTGCTGGGTGGTGTTGGGTGTAGTACCTTCGTGGGGTTGGGTGGTGTTGGGTTAGTACCTTCGTGGGTTGGGTGGTGCTGGGGTGGGTGGTGCTGGTGGTGTGGGTGGTGGGGTGGTGTTGGGTTGTGGTGGGTTGGGTGGTGTTGGGTGTAGTACCTTCGTGGGGTTGGGTGGTGTTGGGTGGTGTTGGGTGTAGTACCTTCGTGGGGTTGGGTGGTGCTGGGTGTGGGTGGTGCTGGGAGTGGGTGGTGCTGGGTGGTGTTGGGTGTAGTACCTTCGTGGGGTTGGGTGGTGTTGGGTGTAGTACCTTCTGTGGGGTTGGGTGGTGCTGGGTGTGGGTGGTGGTGGGTGTGGTGGGTGGGGAGTGGGTGGTGCTGGGTGGTGTTGGGTGTAGTACCTTCGTGGGGTTGGGTGGTGCTGGGTGTAGGTTGGGTGGTGGTGTAGTACCTTCGTGGGGTTGGGTGGTGCTGGGTGTGGGGTGTGGGTGTGTTGGGTGTAGTACCTTCGTGGGGTTGGTGTGGTGGTGGTGGGTGGTGCTGGGTGGTGTTGGGTGTAGTACCTTCGTGGGGTTGGGTGGTGCTGGGTGTAGGTGGGTGTAGTACCTTCGTGGGGTTGGTGGTGTTGGGGTAGTACCTTCGTGGTGTGGGTGTGTTGGGTGTAGTACCTTTGTGGGGTTGGGTGGTGTTGGGTGTGGGTGTAGTTGGGTGTAGTACCTTCGTGGGGTTGGGTGGTGCTGGGTGTGGGTGGTGCTGGGTGGTGTTGGGTGTAGTACCTTCGTGGGTGTGGGTGGTGCTGGGTGGTGTTGGGTGGTGTTGGGTGGTGCTGGGTGGGTGTAGTACCTTCGTGGGGTTGGGTGGTGCTGGGTGGGGGTGGGTGGTGGTGGAGTGGGTGGTGGTGGGTGTGGGTGGGTGTAGTACCTTCGTGGGGTTGGGTGGTGCTGGGCGTCTGCGTCTCTTTGCTGTAGGACACGAGTTCTTTGGGCTGAAAGTCGACCTGAGTGATTCTGGAGGCACCGAGTCTCTGCAGCCTCCGACTGAACAAGAACAGATGACATGGGGTTTAGAGTTTATCTAGTAGTAGTAGTAGTAGTAGTAGTAGTAGTAGTAGTAGTAGTAGTAGCAGTAGTAGTAGTAGTAGTAGTAGTAGTAGTAGTAGTAGTAGTAGCAGTAGTAGCAGTAGTAGCAGTAGTAGCAGTAGTAGTAGTAGTAGTAGTAGTAGTAGTAGTAGTAGTAGTAGCAGTAGTAGTAGTAGTAGTAGTAGCAGTAGTAGCAGTAGTAGTAGCAGTAGCAGTAGCAGTAGTAGCAGTAGTAGTAGCAGTAGTAGTAGCAGTAGTAGCAGTAGCAGTAGTAGTAGCAGTAGTAGCAGTAGCAGTAGCAGTAGCAGTAGCAGTAGTAGCAGTAGCAGTAGTAGCAGTAGCAGTAGCAGTAGCAGTAGCAGTAGTAGCAGTAGCAGTAGCAGTAGTAGCAGTAGTAGTAGCAGTAGCAGCAGCAGCAGCAGCAGCAGTAGCAGTAGCAGTAGCAGTAGCAGTAGCAGTAGCAGTAGCAGTAGTAGTAGTAGTAGTAGTAGTAGCAGTAGTAGTAGTAGTAGTAGTAGTAGTAGTAGTAGTAGTAGTGCTTGTATCTATATACATATTCTGTAAAAATATTAAAAATAAAGCACATGTGATGGAGGAGAGTGGAAAGAGAAGGAGGAGAAAGCAAAAAAAAGGAGGAGAAAAACAACAAGGAGGAGGAGGAGAGGAGGAGAGGAGGAGAGAGGAGGAGGAGGAGGAGGGGGGAGGAGGACGAGGGAGGAGAGGAGGAGGAGGAGAGGAGAGGAGGAGGAGGGAGGAGGAGAGGAGGAGGAGAGGAGGAGAGGGAGGAGATGGAGGAGAGGAGAGGAGGAGGCAGGAGAGGAGAGAGGAGAGGAGGAGGAGGAGGAGAGGAGGAGAGGAGGAGAGGAGGAGGAGAGGGAGAGAGGGAGAGAGGGAGGAGAGGAGGAGGAGAGGAGGAGAGGAGGAGAGGAGGAGAGGAGGAGGGAGGAGAGGAGGAGGAGGAGAGGAGGAGGAGGAGAGGAGGAGGAAGGAGGAGAGGAGGAGGAGACAGGAAAAGGGAGGAGGAGGAGGGAGAGGAGGAGGAGGGAGGGAGGAGGAGGAGGAGGAGAGGAGGAGGAGGAGGAGGAGGAGGAGGAGGAGAGGAGGAGGAGGAGGAGGAGAGAGGAGAGAGGAGAGGAGGAGGAGAGGAGGGAGAGGAGAGAGGAGGAGGAGGAGGGAGGAGGAGGAGGAGAGGAGGAGGGAGGAGAGGGAGGAGGAGAGGAGGAGAGGAGGAGGAGGAGGAGAGATGAGAGGAGAGGGAGGAGAGGAGGAGGAGAGGAGAGGAGGAGGGAGGGAGGAGGAGGAGAGGGAGGAGGAGAGAGGAGGAGGAGAGGAGAGAGGAGGAGGGAGAGGGAGGAGGAGAGAGGAGGAGAGAGGAGAGGAGAGAGAGGAGGGAGGAGGAGGAGGAGAGGAGGAGAGGAGGAGGAGGAGGAGGAGGAGGAGGAGGAGGAGAGAGGAGAGGAGAGGGAGGAGAGGAGGAGAGGAGGAGAGGAAGGAGAGGAGGGAGAGGAGGAGAGGAGGGAGGAGGGAGGAGAGGAGGAGGGAGGAGGAGGAGGACGGGGAGGAGGAGAGAGGAGGAGGAGGAGAGGAGGAGGAGGAGGAGGAGGAGGAGGGAGGAGGGAGGAGGAGAGGAGAGAGGAGGAGAGGAGGAGGGAGGAGGAGGAGGAGGAGGAGGAGGAGGAGAGAGGAGGAGAGGGAGGAGAGGAGAGGAGGAGAGGAGGAGAGGAGGGAGAGGAGGGAGAGAGAGGAGGAGAGAGGAGGAGGGAGGAGGAGGAGGAGGAGGAGGAGGAGGGAGGAGGAGAGGAGAGAGGAGGAGAGGAGGAGGAGAGGAGGAGGAGAGGAGAGGAGAGGAGGAGGAGGAGAGGAGAGGAGGAGGAGAGGAGAGAGGGAGGAGAGGGAGGAGAGGAGGAGAGGAGGAGAGGAGGAGGGAGAGAGGAGGAGGAGGAGGAGGAGAGGAGGAGGAGGAGGAGAGGAGGAGAGGAGAGGAGGAGGAGGAGGAGGAGGAGGAGGAGGAGGGAGGAGGAGGAGGGAGGAGAGGAGGAGGGAGGAGGAGAGAGGAGGAGGGAGAGGAGAGGAGGAGTACCCGAGCTCGGAGTCGGCGTGGAGCTGGAGGACTGAAGGGTCTGTGTCCCACTGCAGTGTCCTGAACGAACCAGCAGAGGGAGCAAGAGACACACGAGGGTTAAACAAGGAAAAGAACAAAAATACACAAATACACATAAACACACAAACACACACACACACACAGAAACACACACACACAAGCACACATACAAACACACAGAAACACACACACAAACATACACACTAACACACAGAAACACACACACACACACAGAACACACAGGGTTCTGCGTCAGGGCCTGACAATTCAGTTTATTATGTGAATATGAAGGACTCAGTGTAACACACTGTGTGACTGTACACTCTGTGTGTATATATATATATATATATATATATATATATATATACTATATACTATATACTATATATATTCATTATACACTTAGACGAGCGTCAGGCTCTGATGTGAATAAGATTAAGTCGTTCTGACAAGTTTAGAGTTTTGTCAGAACGACTTCATCTTAGAATCATATTTTGAATTTAAACCTGTTAAATAAATAAATAAAATAGAACTAGAACATTGGTTCCCAACCTGTGGAGACGTAAAACTGAGGCTCCCACAAACACATGACCCAAGTAAACTAGTGTTACTGACACACTTGTGTGTAACACAAACACACAAACACACAGTGTCCCTGCACACAGTCTGAGACACACACAGGACAGGGGGATGAACACATGGACAGAGTGTGAAGGACTCACCTGGAGCTTGGAGCTGCAGCCTGGAGTCTAGTGAACCTGAACACACACACACAGACACACATACACACACACACACACACACACACACACACACACACACACACACACACACACACACACACACACACACACACAGACACACACAGACACACACACAGACACACACACACACAGACACACACACACACACACACACACACACACACACACACACACACACACACACACACACACAGACAAGGACACACATGGAAAAACACATGGACACAGATGGACACAGACACATGGACACAGATGAAGAGGCTCAGAGTTCAGTCACACAATGAGCCAACAAAAGATTCTCATGCAAAAAAATAAAAAAATAAATAATATCAAAAGTAAAAATGTCTCCAGAGAAAATGCAGCTGAAGTGCAGAGTTTTTATTTTGTTGAACATAATTGTCGTGTTTAGATCAGCAGAATCAGATCAGATCTGAACCATAATCAGACTTTAAGCTCCTGTACAGATTCAAGATAAAACTGTAAACACACACATTTCACATTGTGTGAAGTGTCCCAATGTCGTTTGTGAAACTTCCCCATTTAATGTTTTTCTGAATAAGTGTGTGTGTTTAAGTGTGTGTAAATGTGTGTGTATAAGTGTGTGTGTTTAAGTGTGTGTAAATGTGTGTGTATAAGTGTGTGTGTAAATGTGTGTTAAGTGTGTGTGTTTAAGTGTGTGTAAATGTGTGTGTATAAGTGTGTGTTTAAGTGTGTGTGTAAATGTGTGTGTATAAGTGTGTGTGTTTAAGTGTGTGTAAATGTGTGTGTATAAGTGTGTGTGTTTAAGTGTGTGTAAATGTGTGTGTATAAGTGTGTGTGTAAATGTGTGTGTATAAGTGTGTGTGTTTAAGTGTGTGTAAATGTGTGTGTATAAGTGTGGTGTGTTTAAGTGTGTGTAAATGTGTGTGTATAAGTGTGTTGTGTGTGTGTGTAAATGTGTGTGTATAAGTGTGTGTGTGTAAATGTGTGTAAATGTGTGTGTATAAGTGTGTGTGTAAATGTGTGTAAATGTGTTGTCACAGTTTCTTCAGTGTCTTGTTCATGTGGTGTGACTTTAACAGCGCCCCCTGTAGGGACGGTGTGGACGTGTGTGGTTCCTGTTTGTCGTATGTGCAGCTCGTAGTGTGCATGGAGCGGGGTGAGGTCATGTGACTGCAGGTGTGAGGAGTGGGCGTGGCCTCGGTCATGTGAGTGCAGGTGTGAGGAGTGGGCGTGGCCTCGGTCATGTGACTGCAGGTGTGAGGAGTGGGCGTGGCCTCGGTCATGTGACTGCAGGTGTGAGGAGTGGGCGTGGCCTCGGTCATGTGAGTGCAGGTGTGGCGAGTGGGCGTGGCCTCGGTCATGTGAGTGCAGGTGTGAGGAGTGGGCGTGGCCTCGGTCATGTGAGTGCAGGTGTGAGGAGTGGGCGTGGCCTCGGTCATGTGAGTGCAGGTGTGGCGAGTGGGTCGTGTCCTCACCTCCCCGCGGCTCCGCCCTCTGCAGAGTCCTGACTTCCTGTCTCACTGGGCGTGCTCAGAGACTTGGACGGGGACATGGGGGCGGGAACTGGACACAAACACAGAAGAATTAAACGACCAAATGATCTGGACACGATTTAGAAAACAAATTTGTAACTCACAAACCCAAGAAGATTTAGTTCTTCTCAAAAAACTGAAAACACTTTGTTCCACCTTGTGATGTCATGTGGTGATACAGGAAGTGTTTTAAGTCTCGTCTTAAAACCCACTTTTACTCTGTGACTTTTATTTATGTTTTTTTGTTATTTCCTGTGATTTTATGGTTTTCATGTGTTTTTGTTTTTATTAGATTTTTCTGGTTTTATTGTTTTCGGGCTGATGTGACCAAATCTGAGTCATTTACCTTTTTGTTGTCTTCATTTTCTGATCTCTGTGCTGCACTTTGGAAACTGTTTTGTTTGTAAAATGTGCTGTAGAAATAAAGTGGATTTGGATTTGAAGAGCTCCACTGTGTTTTTAAACTCCACACAAACTGCACCAGAATCATGAGGATCATTTCAGTCCTGGAGTCGCTGATCACAGGGATGAAATTATCTGTGTGTCCGTGTGTGTGTGTGTGTTTTATGTGTGTGTGTGTGTGTGTGTGTGTGTGTGTTTGTACCTAGAGAAGGTTCTGGAGAGATTCCGATGCTCTGCAGTAGAGCTTCTGTCTCTCGTCTCTTTCTGTCCAGATCTGAGTCTTCTGTCGCGATTTCTGTCTTCTGCTGGATCTCAGCCTGTACACACACACACACACACACACAAACACACACACACACACAAAACACACACATAACAACACATAAACACACACACACACACAGACACACACATACACAAATATTCCTTTAGTATAAAAGTTCAGATGTTTGGTCCTCGTTTGTGGATCATGAAGATGCAGATGATCCAGATTCAGGCTGGTGTCAGTGTCGTGTTTTCACTGATATTTCATTACGACATGTTTCTATTTAAACATAACAGTTTTCCGACACTTTTTAGCATCACTATTCTAACACGTCACATGTGGTGTTCTCCACAGATCTTCTACATCAGGAGTGTCCAAACTTTTCATCATCAAGGACCACATCTCTAAACACAGACGGAGCAGAGGGACGATCGAGGGACGTGGAGCTCAACACAGTGAATCACTGAAATATGTGCAGGTTTAACACGTTACAATGACCTTTTATTCACACTAAGATCCTTAAACCCAAACACTAAATATTAAATATTCACTTTATCGAGGTAGATTTTCAGATGATGCAAGGTCATTCATGCCAATTCACCTGGAAGCCTGAGGGCCAAGAAAAATTTGTCCAAGAGCCGCATAGTTTGGAGATTCCTGATCTTCATGACGAAATGAATGAAGCACGACGAGCCGACGCAGCCTCCTTTTTAAAGTACCGTAAAATACCAAATAATAGCCTGGTTTCAGTTCAGCGCTGGGTCCCTGTAAACACCGAGTGCAGGTGTAAATTTAGATAAATAAGTTCCAAATAAACGCAAAGTCTAATGTATTTAAAAAATAATAAATAATCAAGGAAGAAGACGTGAGCACTGATGATGCACGTTTTTCTTCTTCGCCTCTTTTGTTTTGTTTATCGTGTTTTCTTTCAGTCTTTGACCACATTTGATCGACGTGGCTCCGGTGCAGCGAGAAACTAAAAAATACAACTTAAAATTTTTACTTTCTGTGGTAAAATACGCAGAGGAAAACTCAAGCGAAGCGGCTGCGAGATGTTTTTCTGTCAACCCCAAGAGAGTGAGAAATTGGCGAAGAAATAAATCTGAGTTTCGGCGTTGGTCTGAGGAGGAGGACGGTGAAAAGGACGGGGGTCGGGTGGAGGCAGGAGGAAGACGAGTGAAGAGCTGGAGCATCGTCGCTGCTGTGGCATAAGAGGAAAGTTGTGCGAAAGTCGTACAACAGCGAAACAAAAAACTGTAAAAACTGTAAATTATCGTCAGACTGGTTAAAAGAATTTGAGGACCAGATTTTCCCAGTTTTGTTGAGTTAGATTTTTGTGAAGAAGGAATTAATCTCCTGCCCCAAATCGCTGCCTGGTCTCAAATAAAAGCCTGGTCTCTTAAGAGACTGAAACAAATCAACACCTCGGATATTATTTGGTATTTTACGGTGTTTTGTGGTCAGTCAGGACAGTTGGGGTTTGTTCTGACCTTCCTCGACTCCTTCTTCTTCCTCTCCTCCTCCTTCCTCTTCTTCTCCTCGCGGATCTGGGCCAGACGCTGCTTCTTCCGCTCCAGCTCCGCCTTCAGGTCACTTTTGTCCGACATGTTCACTGCACAAAAAAACACAAACAAGTTTTAGTCACACAAACACACACAAACACACACACACACACACACACACACACACACACACACACACACACACACACACACTCGCAGAGCAAATCACAAATACAAGTTTTAAAGTGACATCATTTCCTCCACAAACAAAATCTCCTTCTTCTTCTTTCAGATTTGTGTTCAGGTTCAGGTTCTGTCGGTTCAGTTTCAGTGTTTTTGTCACTGAAACTGAAACTTACGAACACATGAGACCAACAGGACAGAAGAGTTTCTGTAGATTTAAAACTTTTTCTTTCACACATGATAGTTTCAGTTGCTCTTTGTTTGTTTATTTTCCCGTGTGTGACCTGGATGAACCTGCTGACGTCTGCAGAGCTTTGGGGGCAGGAGAGCTACTTGAATATGCAAAAAATGTGCAGAATTGTCCTTCTGGTGTCTTCAGTGTAGGGACCAGTCTCAAATACAAAGTAAAACCGCTTCGTTTGCCCTGATAAAGGCCGAAGGGCTGAAACGCGTTGGCGTAATTTAACTTTATCTGCCATGAGGTATTAAAAGCTTTTAATTATTTTGTACTTTTTGAGTGCCTCAGTTTTTTTCCTACTTTGTATTTGATCGTGCTGACGTCTTCTGTGTCGTCACAGTTCACTTAGAAAAAACTAGTTTTCCTTGATTTCCAGCGTGAACATGAGTCAGTTCAGGATTAGGTGCAGGAACCGGAACCGGCACGATTCTCTGTCGACCTGAAAACACCTAGAGATGCACAGGCTCCACAGAGCTTCAGAGGACTGGAGTGATGTGTTTGTGTAGTTTGTGATACTGGTTGTGTTGTTGTTGTTGTTGTTGTTGTGCTCTTCAGGGGTCCACAACTTGTTCAGGTGTAACACAAAAGCCCAGGTGTGGCAGTGCGTGACAGGGTCGGTCCTGTGCGCTCGACAGGGTTGGTCCTGTGCGCTCGACAGGGTCGGTCCTGTGCGCTCGACAGGGTCGGTCCTGTGCGCTCGACAGGGTTGGTCCTGTGCGCTCGACAGGGTTGGTCCTGTGCGTTTGACAGGGTTGGTCCTGTCTCGTTGGGCTGGTTTGTTTTAATCCTGATAAAATCCATCACAAAAACATGGATTATAACGCAGGACTGTGGGATTAAAGATGAAAGACTAAAAAATCAATGTCTAGATAAATTAAAATGACTTTAATTAAAGAACTTTTGACTTTATTTGAGAAGATTCAACTTGACAAGTGGAATTATCTACCGATGGAATAAGTGTGTTTTTCTTAATTCAAGCATTATTCAGTTTTGTTTCTTATTTTAAGTGCAGTAAGATGTAGTTTTATAGTTTAAGTAAAAGTCTTGTTCTACTGCAGATCATTTTACTCGTCAAGTGAAGTTGACTCAAATCATGATGAAACTTTCTTAATTCAAGTCATTTTAACTTGACTGGATTTTGTTTTTCATACATGTTGAAAATGTTGAGAATGTGAAAACTAAATCAGGAGGAAAAAGGCTCCAGATAAACCACATTTAAAGGAGCTTTAATCCTGCACTTTTATAGTTTTTAAATCAGTTCCACGCTCACATCTGAGCCCAGAGTCTGAACCTGCAGGTGGAAGAGAAGAGAAACTTCACGAGGAACTCAGAACCTCCAGAACCTCCAGAACCTCCAGAACCTCCAGAACCTCCAGAACCTCCAGAACCTCCAGAACAGAATCTACTCACTACTCGGGGAAAGACGTTATTGTTCTTCTTCCTACAGGATTTGGAGCTTTACAAACGTCACGACCAAACAGCAGCAACTGGTTCAATAAAAAAAGTCCCGTCTCCTGTCGAGTGAACGAATCCTAATGCTGCAGGTCACACGGTTTCCACCAAGTGAAACCAGCTCAGGAATCAGACTAAAAGTGACAAACTGTGGCTTTAAATCACATTGAATTAATTGAAGAACCACCACACTAAAGCCCAACTGATATATTGTTTGGCCGATATTATCGGCCGATATTATCAACAAAACAATCTGAAGAGCCGCTTGGGAGCCGAAAGAGCCGTCTGCTTTTAGTGAGCCGAGCCAAAAGAGCCGGTTCTCTAAAAAGAACTGGAATCCCCGTCCCTAGTGTCTAGAATGTGATGCAAAAATGTCATTAGTCCGACCTACTGTCTGTAAATATGACGTAAAGAGTCAGAAGAACAATAAATGTTTCCTAAATAAACCCAGTTTAAAATCCACCAGAGACAAACCCAAGTTTTTTAAACAATTCAAGATTTACAGTGAATTTTTACATCACAAAATATATCGGCGATTATATCGGCAGCTCCAACTTCCATTTTATCGGGTTCATATCGGCCGCAACAAATCCATATCGGTCGAGCTCTACACCGCACTGTGACTCAGGCGTCACCAGGACTAAACCAGACAATTTAGAGTCGTCCATAAAACAGATTTGCACGTTTTTAACCCGGATGCCCTTCCTAAAGTGTCCCTGTGTCCCCTGTGCCTGCAGATTTACACAAAAACACCGATTTGTCCCAGTTCTGTACAAGAAATGTCCCGATTTTTGACCAATTTGATGTAAACCAGGACTAAACCAGGACTACATCAACAACTGTCACCATTTTTGACCAAGCTGCTTCCACCAAGAGGAAACAGAAGCACAAATTGTCAAATTTGTGTTTGTAAATGAGCAGAAAGCAAAAACATGCAGCGTCAGAACCTCTGAGATCATCACTGACACCAGAATCCACAATGTTCCACGACACATCAGCAAACCTGAGGGTGTCTCAGTTTAGAATTCAGAAAACCTGGTTCCTCCAGCCTCACCACAGCCCCTCGGAGCAGCTGGAGCTCCAGACCTGCCCACAGGACCCAGACCTGCCCGCAGGACCGAGGATCCGCGCGGGGAAATAAACCCACAGACCTGAGTGAGTCTGGTCTTCAGCTGTGTCCTCGCGTGGATTCCGCTGTGTCACGGTAAAGATGCTGTCTCACTGCTGCTCCAGCCCTCCGCGCATCCTCCTCCTCTTCCTCCTCTTCTTCCTCTTCTTCCTCTTCCTCTTCTTCCTCCCCGGGTGCGCCTCCGTGTGCGCGCGGCTCTCAGCGCTCCACTCCCGGCGCGTGTCTGTGCCGTGAGCCCGGCCGTGTGCGCTCTTCTCCGGGCGTGTCTGCTCCGTGCGCTGGCGGCTCGCAGGTGCTCGTCCACATCCGCGGTCCAGAGCTGGAGGATGCAGCCGGAGGAGGAGAGAGGAAATCCCGCCTCTCGTCGTCGTTCCGCGCGGCCGCAGCAGCAGCAGCAGCAGCAGCAGGGCAGCAGCAGCAGCGCCCTCTGCTGGACACACGGGCCACTGCGCACGAGGATGAGAAGAGTCTGGAGTTTGGAGAAATGAACGAGAGGCTCTGGTGGGTCTGAGGAATCTGAACAGTGTTGTGGAGTAACAGATTACAAGTACTGGAGTAATCAGAGTACAAATGATGAGTAACTGTATTCAGTTACAGTTACTGTTTCAGTGAGTGGGAATTGGATTATAGTTACTTTGTTGAAATAAATGGATTACACAGAGAGATTTTACTGTTTCACATTTTGGGCTAAATCCCCCTAAACCAGGACTAAACCAGGACTAAATCCTGCTGCGCCGACTGTGTCTCCTTCTCTTCTATCAATAATATTTTTAATTTGGTTCAGTAAAATTTGGGCTTTTTAATAATAATCTGTAATCTGTAGGGGATTACATTTTAAAAGTAAACTTCACAACACTGAATCTGAACATTAAGGACTAATCCAGGACTAAAACCAGGTCTAAACTAGGACTAAACCAGGTCTAGACCAGGTCTAAAAAAGGACTAAAACAGGATTGAACAGGGCTAAATCCTGCTGTGTGGACGTGTTTCTTCTTCTTCTATCAATAATATTTTTAATTTGGTTCAGTAAAGTTTGGACTTTTTCATTTTCTTTTATCAGACAAAACTTCTTACGTGAAGATTTCCTCGTCTTTGTTTCTCTACAGAAAACCAAGTAATCCAAAGTAATCAGATTACATTACTCACTTTAAGTACTTTAATGGATTACATTACAAACTACATTTTGGGGTGTGTAATCTGTAATCTGTAGGGGATTACATTTTAAAAGTAAACTTCCCAACACTGTGTGCAGTCGTGTGTAGAACAGGGAGTCCAAACTTTTTTCATCAAGAGAAACACCTCGAAACACAGATGAAGCAGAGGGACGATCGAGGGACGTAAACTGGAGCTCGTGCAGTGACTCATTCAAATCTGTGCAGGTTTAACACGTCAGAATGAACCGTCAGTCCTTTATTCACGCTAAAATCCTATATGAAATATTGGCTTTATCAAGGTAGATTTTCAAAAAACTTGCAATAAAAAGTAAATTTTTCATTGATGCAAGATACTTTTGGCCAAAAAGAGGGCCGCATTTGGCTCACGGGCCGTAGTTTGGACATACCTAGTGTAGAAGTACAGTACAAATGTGCAGTAGAAGTTTTATTTGCCAGAAAACACAATCAGTTTTTTTTTTTTTTTTTTCATATCAATGTTTTCCATGTGCAGCCGCAGGTCGCACGAGAAACTGGAACATGATGTGCCCGAAGAGTTTCACACATACACACACTTCCTCACGGAGAGAAAAGACCCGGAGCCTCAGAGACACTCAAGTCAAAGTCTGTAACACACTCACACACACTCTGTCACTGCCACAACAGGAGATAACACAGGTTTACACACACAACTCACACACAAACACACAAAAACACACACAACTCACATACAACACACAAAAACACACACAAAAACACACACAGAACTTTTGCCGGAACAGTCAGTTGAGGTAAAAGTCCCGCCCTCAAATAAAAGAATAAAAAAAGTGACTTGTGGGGGCTCGTGTGTGATTGGCTCTCGCGCGGCTCGTCTCCGCCCCGGCCCCGCCCCACAACAATCCACTCGGAACACAATGTCTAGACTCTCCCCGATGCGCTGCCTCCGTGGACATGCCTGGAGTTTCCACGGGCGCGGGGATGGCGCTGGGGGCTGCGGGCGCACGCGGGATGCTCTGCTGACGGGCTCCGGAGTGCGTAAAACGTGCGTAAAACGTGCGTAAAAGTGGCTCTGGATTTACGCGTAAAGATGAAGTTCGCCCAGTTTCTGCTGAAGAACGGCTCCTCCGCGGCGGGGATCCCCAGGCTGGTGGAGCGCTTCGCCAAGTTCTCCCCGTCCCCGCTGTCCATGAAGCAGTTCATCGACTTCGGTGAGTCCCGCTCGGTCCTCGGTCCCGCTCGGCTTTTGTCCCGGTGTGGACGCGCTGACGGTCACATGGCGCACGCACAGGTCACGTTCTTTTCATTTATGTAAGAGCAGGAGGTGCTTTTTAGGATTATATTGACTCTGTGTGAGTGCAGGAAGTTAATAAAGTTCATTTTACTGCAGCTTTAATCTGGGAAGAGAAGCACAAGTAAAACTGAAAACGCTTTTAGTAACAGAACAGTGAAAACCTGCGCTCGTGTTTGTTCCTGTTCTGAATCATGATCCAATCAGAACTTTATTCTGGAGACTTTAGACTTTATGTCTGTGCTGAAAAAAACAAACAAAAACAACCAAAAACAATGATCTATGTGCGTTTAAAATGACTTAAATTAAAAACATTTGACTTTATTTGAGTCGATTCAACTTCATGAGTAAAAAAAAGGTCAGAGGTGAAATCAAGTCTTTGCTTTGTCTCAAGTCTTTGACCTCAAGTCCGAGTCAAGTCCCAAGACAAAGACGGGAAAGTCCAAGTCGAGTCTCAAGTTACTGATCCATAAGTCCAAGTCAAGTCCAAGTCATCTGCTTTGAGCTTCAAGTCATTTCAAGTCTTTAAATCGAAATACCAGCTTAGATTTTTTACAGTTTATATGAATTTTAAACAAAATTGTACTAGTTTTAGTCCTGGTTTAGTCCTGGTTTAGTTTACCTGGTTTAGTCCTGGTTTTAGACCTGGTTTACCTGGTTTAGACCTGGTTTAGACCTGGTTTAGACCTGGTTTAGTCCTGGTTTAGTCCTGGGTTTTGGTTTAGACCTGGTTTAGACCTGGTTTAGTCCTGGTTTAGTCCTGGTTTAGTCCTGGTTTAGTTTCCTGGTTTACCTGGTTTAGACCTTTTGGTTTAGAGTCCTGGTTTAGACCTGGTTTAGTTTAGACCTGGTTTAGACCTTGTTTAAGACCTGGTTTAGACCTGGTTTAGTCCTGGTTTAGACCTGGTTTAGACCTGGTTTAGTTTCCTGGTTAGTCCTGGTTTAGTCCTGGTTTAGACCTGGTTTAGACCTGGTTTAGACCTGGTTTAGTCCTGTTTAGACCTGGTTTAGACCTTTTGTTTAGTTTACCTGGTTTTCTGGTTTAGTCCTGGTTTAGTCCTGGTTTAGTCCTGGTTTAGTCCTGGTTTAGTCCTGGTTTAGAGTTTAGAGTTTTTAGACCTGGTTTAGACCTTGGTTTAGTCCTGGACCTGGTTTAGACCTGGTTTAGACCGTTTTGGTTTAGTCCTGGACCTGGTTTGGTTTAGACCTCCTGGTTTAGACCTGGTTTAGACCTGGTTTAGTAGACCTGGTTTAGAGTCCTGGTTTAGACCGGTTAGTCCTGGTTTAGTTTAGTCCTGGTTTAGTCCTGGTTTAGTCCTGGTTTAGACCTGTTTTAGACCTGGTTTAGACCTGTTTAGTCCTGGTTTAGTCCTGGTTTAGTTTAGAGTCCTGGTTTAGTCCTGGTTTAGTTTCCTGGTTTAGTCCTGGTTTAGTCCTGGTTTAGACCTGGTTTAGACCTGGTTTAGTCCTGGTTTAGTCCTGGTTTAGTCCTGGTTTATCCTGGTTTACTGGTTTACCTGGTTTAGTCCTGGTTTAGTCCTGGTTTAGTCCTGGTTTAGTCCTGGTTTAGTCCTGGTTAGTCCTGGTTTACCTGGTTTAGACCTGGTTTAGACCTTGGTTTAGTCCCCTAGTCCTGGTTTAGTCCTGGTTTACCTGGTTTAGTCCTGGTTTAGTCCTGGTTTAGACCTGGTTTAGTCCTGGTTTAGTCCTGGTTTACCTGGTTTAGTCCTGGTCCTGGTTAGTCCTGGTTTAGTCCTGGTTTAGTCCTGGTTTAGTCCTGGTTTAGACCTGGTGGTTAGTCCTGGTTTAGTCCTGGTTAGTCCTGGTTTAGTCCTGGTTTAGTCCTGGTTTAGTCCTGGTTTAGTCCTGGTTTAGTCCTGGTTTAGTCCTGGTTTAGTCCTGGTTTAGTCCTGGTTAGTCCTGGGTTTAGTCCTGGTTTAGTCCTGGTTTAGTCCTGGTTTAGTCCTGGTTAGTCCTGGTTTAGTCCTGGTGGTTAGTAGACCTGGTTTAGTCCTGGTTTAGTCCTGTTTAGTCCTGGTTTAGTCCTGGTTTAGTCCTGGTTTAGTCCTGGTTTAGTCCTGGTCCTTTAGTCCTGGTCCTTTAGTCCTGGTTTAGTCCTGGGTTTAGTCCTGGTTAGTCCTGGTTTAGTCCTGGTTTAGTCCTGGTTTAGTCCTGGTTTAGTCCTGGTTTAGTCCTGGTTTAGTCCTGGTTTAGTCCTGGTTTAGTCCTGGTTTAGTCCTGGTTTAGTCCTGGTTTAGTCCTGGTTTAGTAGTCCTGGTTTAGTCCTGGGTTTACCTGGTTTAGTCCTGGTTTAGTCCTGGTTTAGTCCTGGTTTAGTCCTGGTTTAGTCCTGGTTTAGTCCTGGTCCTGGTTAGTCCTGGTTTAGTCCTGGTTTAGTCCTGGTTTAGTCCTGGTTTAGTCCTGGTTTAGTCCTGGTTTAGTCCTGGTTTAGTCCTGGTTTTAGTTTAGTCCTGGTTTAGGTTTGGTTTAGTCCTGGTTTAGTCCTGGTTAGTCCTGGTTTAGTCCTGGTTTAGTCCTGGTTTAGTCCTGGTCCACATAACGACACTTGGGAACAGAATAGAAAATAAGTCAAAGTTGAATTGATTTTATTGTCAATCACAGGTTGTAACAAACATGAGCCCGAACTCCAAATGTGTGAATTAAAAACTACAACACTGTAATAATAAATAACAAATAAATAATACATCAAATAAACACAATAAATAAATAAAATAAACAAACAAAGGACATGCACAGTTTCAACCAGAATAAAGTGAAGTCGCTGTTTTTGTAAAATAATGCAGAGTGTGAAGAGCAGAAACATGAGTGGAAACAGGAGTGTGTCCAGTTGTTCTGGATGTAGAAGTTCATGTCGGTGGAGTTTTCTTGAGTGTGTTGATGAGCTGGTTTCACTTGGTGGAAACCGTGTGACCTGCAGCATTAGGATTCGTTCGTTCGACAGTAGACGGGGACTTTTTTTATTGAACCAGTCGCTGCTGTTTGGTCGTGACGTTTGTAAAGCTCCAAATCCTGTAGGAAGAAGAACAATAACGTCTTTCTCTTCTGGAGAATCGTCGACAACACAGAATGTCTGTCTCTTCTCTGATTGGCTGATGTCTGGACTCACACTTCCGAGGTGTTTTTAAATCATCTAGTGTTTTCTGATTCCTGATCAAGTCGCTGGAGAGAAATGAAACTGAGCGGAGACACTAGTTGGAGCCAGTCTGACTACAGCCTGTGTCCTGTGTGAAGAAGCTGCTGCTGCTCGTGTTTCACCGCACGCTGAGATTATACGTCTGAAAGTTTTACCGTTTAATGTGGAAAATCACAGGAGATCGTCTAAAGAAAGAGGTTTTTTTGGGATCAGAATCAGGATCGAGTTTCGAGTCTGTTCCTTTAGAATCAAAAATGAGATTTAAATTTTAGTATCGTGAGAACTTTGCTCCTGTAAACATCCTCAATCTGTGTGTCGTTCATTCATTCGTTTTTCAAAATAAAAACAAAAATAAGAAAAAATAAATAAATACTAGTTCTTCATTATTTGTCTCCAAAACCAAAATGAAAAAAAAAAAACAAACAGATAATGATTCAGTTTTTGATTTTGTGTTTAAATGAAAAATGGAAAAATTGGATAACGGCACCGTTTACGTGAAACTGTGATGCAGGACTGAACCAGGACTAAACCAGGACTGAACCGGGACTGAACCAGGACTAAACCGGGACTGAACCGGGACTGAACCGGGACTAAAAAAGGACTAAACCATTTTCTTTCCTGGTCTGGTCCTGGCCTGGTACCGGTCTAAGTCCTGGTCTCCGTCCCGGTCTGGTTCCAGTCTGGTCCCAGACTTGGTTCAGTCCTGGTTTAGTCCTCGTTCAGTCCATTTTCCATTTTTTCCATTTTTCATTTAAACACAAAATCGAATCAAAAGTCTTTATCTCTTTTTTTTCTTTTTCATTTTGATTTTAGAGACAAATAATGAAGAAATAGTTGTTGTTGTTTTGTATTTTTGTTTTTATTTTGAAAAGTGAAAGACACACAGGTCCTCCTCCCTCCTCCGTCTTCTCTGTCACTTCTGTTTTTCTTGTTCTTGTTCTTGTTTTCTGGGTCGTGGCTCCTCCTCCTTCTTCCTCCGGGGCCGACGGCAGCGGGCGGAGCTCTGGGTCAAAGGTCAAAGTGCTCGACCTCGTGTGTGTTGTGTTTTTGGGCGGGAGCGGCTCACAGATCAGATCCCCACAGGTTTTCTTTTCAGTTTTTTCACATTGAGACACAAAACTCCGGCTGCAGACGCGTTTGTGACGAGAACAACAACAGAACACGACTTAAATCTCACAACTTCATTATGTTTAATAAACGAGTTTCACACAGGGAATCTTCAGAAAACTCATTTTAACTAAATCTATTCTGCTGATACTTTTTCATTTGGTGTTTTCAGAGACTTACTTTACTTCAGGAAGAACTTAAACCGCAAAAAATCAAATCTAGACAAGTTAAAATGACTTGAATTAAGAAAGTTTTATCATGATTTGATAATGAAATAAAATGATCTGCCAGAAGAACAAGACTTTTTGTTCTTAAAATATGAAGATACGTCTTACTGCACTTCAAATAAACAAATAAAAAAACTACTTTTTGCACATAAAATAAGAAACAAAACTCAATATTGCTTGAATTAAGAAAAACACTTGTTCCATCCGTAGAATCGACTCAAATTAAGTCAAATGTTTTAAATTTAAGTCATTTTAATGAACTTTGATGTCACTTTTTACAGTGTGACGGAGTGTAAGGGTCAGATAAAAAAGATGCTGGCGCTAAGAGAATAAAGACGTAACATTTTGACATTAAAGTCATAATTTTACAAGAATAAAGTCGAAGTTAAAATAAAGTTATAATATTACGAGAATGAAGTCGTAATAAACTCAAAGTCAAAGTGAAAAATGCGGCAGAAGAAGAAGACAAAGAACAATTTTCTTCATTATTTGCACCTCCGGACTGAACCAGGACTGAACCAGGTCCGGGACCAGACTGGGACTGAGACCAGGACAAGACGAGGACCAAACCGTGATACCAGGACCAGACCGGGACTGAGATCACCTGTCCTGGTTCAGTCCTGGTTCAGTCCTGGTTCAGTCCTGGTTCAGTCCTGGTTCAGTCCTGGTTTAGTCCTGGTTCAGTCCTGGTTAAGTCCTGGTTCAGTCCTGGTTCAGTCCTGGTTCAGTCCTGGTTCAGTCCTGGTTCAGTCCTGGTTCAGTCCATATGTGGTGCAATATTCCCGCGTCACATTTTAAAGTTATGGAAACACTGTTTCCCGTTTCCGTGATTTAAACCAGGACTAAACCAGGATTAAACCGCTTTTAGTCCTGGTCTGGTCCCGGTCTAAGTCCTGGTCTCAATCCAGGTCTTAGTTCTGGTTTGGTTTCAGACCTGATTTAGTCCTGATTCAGTCCTTTTTCAGTCAAATGAACAAATGATACACAGATTTTTCTCCTTTACAAAATGCTCCAAATGCTCCAGAGCCTCAGACTCAAACTCTCTGAGTCCTCGATTTTCTCGTAATATAACAACTTTATTTTGACTACGACTTTATTCTCGTAATATTATTCTCGTAGCGCCAGCATTTTTATTTTTTTTTATCTGACCCTTATGCTCTGTTGTACTTAAGGCTCCAAACCGTCAGTCTGATTCCTGAGCTGGTTTCACTTGGTGGAAACTGTGTGACCTGCAGCATTAGGATTCGTTCACTCGACAGGAGACGGGACTTTTTTTTATTGAACCAGTCGCTGCTGTTTGGTCGTGACGTTTGTAAAGCTCCAAATCCTGTAGGAAGAAGAACAATAACGTCTTTCCCCGAGATCAAATTCACCAAACATTCTCTTTGTTCAGACTTTAAATCCTCGAGGATCTGGAGAATCGTCGCCAACACAGAATGTCTGTCTCTTCTCTGATTGGCTGGAGCCCGAACTCACACTTCTGGGGTTTTTGTGAATCGTCTAGTGTTTTCTGATTTCTGATCTGGAGTTGGAGAGAAATGAAACTGAGCAGAGGCTCGAGGTGACGTCAGACTGGATACAAACTGCAGCGTCAATGAGAAAAACACAAACTCTGACTTTTGTGGTGAGTCTGAGTCTCTGATCTGACCAAGATTTTAAAACTCATATCAGGTTCATCTTGTTCAAACACAAACGTCACACAGGACAGAGAGAAACAAAATTTTCATTCCACATAGACAGGAATCAAAATTACGTTTCTCTCTGTCCCAGGAGTAGAAGAGAAGGACAAACATTAAAGTACAAGACACGACAATATTTATGTACAGACACGACAAATAAAAGTGCAAAAAAATCACACAGTCCAACAGTCTTTAACTTGTGTCCTCTGAGCCGCACACGCTGCACTTCTGCTGCTCAAAACCTCTTAATATTTAGTTAAACTTGTAAAAAGTTTAACAAGTGCTCAGTTTATCGGCCAGTCAGCCACAAGAGCAGCCAACCACAGAACTGCCACGTTTACATGAGAACTTTAATTATGAATAAAAATAATTTGATTCTGAATAAAAGTAAATTCCTCTTTAAAAAGATCATGTAAACACTTAATCCCAAATGAAAATGAGTGTTTGGAATGAAACTTAATTCTGAAGTAAGTGGGTGGTTTGTTCCAAGTTGCTCGTGTAGGAAAGTCCTGAGGAGGATCTCCACCGTGTCCCACCGTGTCCCACCGTGTCCCACCGTGTCCCCCGTGTCCCGCCGTGTCCAGCAGCGCCCACTTTCACTTTCATTTTCATTTGTTACGTTTGTCGTTGAAAGTGTCAAACCAGCCACGTGCTTTTCTCTTGTTCCTTTTCCGTCTCCTGTATTTGCGTTTTGTTGTTGAACTTCTCTGACTTTTTCAGCTCCACGACGTCTTTCTTTCTTTAGTTCATCCAAAATGTCCAGTTTTTTTAAGTTGTTCAGGGGTAAAGGTGGTTTGTTTGTCGGCCTCGCAGAAGCGTTTTGGTGTTTTCTCTTCTTAAAACACACGAACGTTTGGTTAAATCGACCTTAGAACAGAGCGTTTCTTTTCGTAGATTAGAACATAAAGTGGGACTACAGGGAATCGGTCTCGACTATCTGTGTTCGATATCTCGATATTTTAAACATATCGAGATATTTTTTTAAACTCGATATGGATTCTGACATATCGTAAATATCGATATAATGTTTATATTCAGTTCTGATTTTGCCGCTTCACTCGTTTGCGTCTCTGTGCTCGGCCCCGTGGCTCTGATTCTGCTGCTTGTGTCTCATTCACTCCTCACTGCCTCCGTGAACATCGAAAGTTACTAGTACAAGTAGCACCACGAACCTTCTCCACCGTTTACAGACGAGACCATCAGCAGCACATCCGGTCGTGAGTTCTTTAGTCCAACAGAAGCTGAACTGCTTGAGTGGAGCAAGGAAACAACTGTTTATGCAAATGAGTCATGTGCTTAAATTTCGTTTCTGTTAAACATAAACACACGTGTCAAATCTGTATTAAACACATGATCATGTGAAACGAGCTGATGTGGATCTAGAGTCGTTCTGTTTAAATGTCATAAAGTTTATAAAGTTTAGTCATGTAAAGTTTATTTATGCAGAAGATTTGAATAATAATCTGCTGCAGTGTCACTTGTACAGTCGTGTTTGCATCGTTGGGGATCGTTGTGGGATTAAACCTCACAGCTCCTGACGCTGGTGAAGAACATGGATCTGTTCAAATAAAGAACCTCCTGATCTTCTGCTGAAGGAACTCAAGTTCATGTTCATGTTTCTCGTGGTTACAGAGTTGATGTAAAGATGAGCTTGAGTTGAGTTGTTTTATCTTAAATGTGGCAGAAGCACTTTGTTCCAACATGAACTGCGGACATCTTGCACTTCAATAAAAAATAAAAATAAAAAAAACATTGTGGATTTTGGCAGATTTGTTTTTGCAGTTTTCAGTTTTATTAAGTTATTTCTCCTGTACAGATATCGAGATATATATCGTATATCGAGACAGCAAAATATATCCAGATATATTTTTGATCCATTCGGCCCAGATCTCCTCCCCACATCTGTTTAAGAAAAAAGACTGAGGAAAAAGACAGAAATCCATCAGTGTCTCTGTCCAATCAGAACCTTCCCCACCCCCAGACACTCACACACATGAAATAAAAAACATTTCACCAGTTTAACACCAAACAACAATTCAATTTACATGGAAACAACAAGAAAATTTTTATTCAGAAATATTTAATTCAGATTTAAAAAAACAAAAAGCATCATGTACATGGCTAATGTAAAAGTCATGATTTTTTTCTTTTTCATATGACTTGAGTCGTGCGTCGTGTGACCTGAGTTGTGTATCACATGACCTGAGTTGTGTATCACATGACCTGAGTTGTGTGTCATGTGACAGGTTCGGCCAACGCGTGTGAGAAGACGTCGTTCGTGTTCCTGCGTCAGGAGCTTCCCGTCCGATTCGCCAACATCATGAAGGAGATCGACTTCCTCCCCGACAAACTGCTCAGTACACCGTCCCTCAAACTACTGCTCAGCTGGGACTACTACTACTACTACTACTACTACTACTACTACTACTACTACTACTACTACTACTACTACTACTACAGACTCAGCACACCGTCCCTCAAACTACTGCTCAGCTGGTACTACTACTACTACTACTACTACTACTACTACTACTACTACTACTACTACTACTACTACTACAGACTCAGCACACCGTCCCTCAAACTACTGCTCAGCTGGTACTACTACTACTACTACTACTACTACTACTACTACTACTACTACTACTACTACAGACTCAGCACACCGTCCCTCAACTACTCACTGGACTACTATACTACTACTACTACTACTACTACTACTACTACTACTACTACTACTACTACTACTACTACTACTACTACTACAGACTCAGCACACCGTCCCTCAAACTACTGCTCAGCTGGTACTACTACTACTACTACTACTACTACTACTACTACTACTACTACTACTACTACTACACACAGTCCCTCAAACTAGCTGCTACTACTACTACTACTACTACTACTACTACTACTACTACTACTACTACTACTACTACTACTACTACTACTACAGACTCAGCACACCGTCCCTCAAACTACTGCTCAGCTGGTACTACTACTACTACTACTACTACTACTACTACTACTACTACTACTACTACTACAGACTCAGCACACCGTCCCTCAAACTACTGCTCAGCTGGACTACTACTACTACTACTACTACTACTACTACTACTACTACTACTACTACTACTACTACTACTACTACTACTACAGACTCAGCACACCGTCCCTCAAACTACTGCTCAGCTACTACTACTGGTACTACTACTACTACTACTACTACTACTACTACTACTACTACTACTACTACAGACTCAGCACACCGTCCCTCAAACTACTGCTCAGCTGGTACTACTACTACTACTACTACTACTACTACTACTACTACACAGACTCGTCCTCAAACTACTGCTCAGCTGGTACTACTACTACTACTACTATACTACTACTACTACTACTTACTACACTAGACTCAGCTTACTACTACTACTACTACTACTACTACTCAGCTGGTACTACTACTACTACTACTACTACTACTACTACTACTACTACTACTACTACTACTACTACTACAGACTACACAATACTACTGCAATTATTACTTTACTACTGTAGTATATACTACTTAGTGCACACTACACGACTGAGCAGTACACAGACTAACCACAGCAAACCCTACTGGATACCACAACCTAAACACAACTAAACAGCAGGACTAAACCAGGTCTAAACCGGGTCTAAACCTAAAGGTCTAAACCAGGACAGGACTAAACAGGACTAAACCAGGACTAAACCGGGTCTAACCAGGTCTAAACTAAACGGGTCTAAACCAGGTCTAAACCAGGACTAAACCGGACTAAAACGGGACTAAACCAGGAGGTAAAAAAGACTAAACCTAACAAACCAGGTCTAAACCAGGTCTAAACAGGTTCAATGTTGTTGTCATAATCAAATGTTGGATGTGGAGGCCGGTACTGTGTGTGTGTGTGTGTGTGTGTGTAGTGTGTCGTGTCTGTGTGTGTGTGTGTGTTCTTTCTTTCTTCTTTTCTTTCTTTCTTATTATTTTTCTCCTAACCAACTCACCCATTTTTCACCCACTAAACAATGACGAAAAGTCCTGAAATTTTGCCATCTGGTAAAACTCGCGCTTCCCTACGTTTTGGCTATTTCCATTTTCCAAACATAAATAAAATGGCTCGTCAGCGCCACCAAACGACTCAAAAATGCATTAGGGAATACGAATGACACAAAAAAAAACTTGTTCGTACAATCATGAAATTTGACACAGAAGTCGATCATGTCAAGACAAGGAAAAAATATTATTACGCCAACACCGTGTGCTCCACTAGGGGGCAGTAATATTAGCTTAAAATTTGCTAAGCTGTTACGAACTCCTCCGAGGGCGTTCACCCCAACGAGCTCAAATTTGGTCCACATCATCTCAAGACGTAGAACAATAAAAGTTATCCAAATTGTTCACACACGTCTTACGATCTCTGAGCAGTGAAGCAACAAAAAATGCACACAATTTTGGACATTTACAAATTGCTCCCATTTGCTCAAACGAACTCCGATTTCAATGAAATTTGAAACATTTGTTAAACTCTCTGACCTGAAGCTACTTCATGTGAAAATTATTAATTTGGTGCATTAGCGCCCCCTATAGATTGAAACAAAATTTAATATAGAAAAAAATCATTAGTTCCCAAATAGTTGCTCAAAAATTTCTGAAATTTTGCACAAAATTCCCTTTTGGCATCCTGATCCAAAAGTCAATGACACCCATGTCATATTTTTTATGGCGTTGCCATAGCGATGGCATAAACTCTCCATTGGTAAAATCTACAAATTCTGGCACAAAACTATGGCCGATTTCACTCAAATTTCAATCGTTGATTGACACTCCGACCCTGAACAGATTTATATAAGAAAATCTCAGATGGGCGCTATAGCGCCCCCTAGGGAAATTGCATGGTAGTGCAAACATTTACTTTGTTGTAGACATATAAAATTTGGTACACAGATTCATGACATGGTCTTGATCAAAAAAGTCAATGACGACCCCATGCCATTTCCCATCGTGTTGCCATGGCGACAGGCCAAACATCTGCCCTTGCCAATAGGCCCAACAAAAACTTTGGCGTAGCCAAACCAAATTTGGTACACAGATGCATCATGGGAATAGGAACAAAAAAGTATATTACGCGGTTGCTCGGCAACCAACAGGAAGGCGGCCATATTGGATTGATCGAGATTGTCCTCGTACTTGAACGAACTCGTCCTTGGGCGTTTGACCCAGACAGAATCATTCTGTATCATCTAGACAAGTGGGACATTAAAAGTTGTTAAAAGCTTTTTAAAAGGTCACACGGTGTTGCCGTGGCAACGGTGCAAATTTCGGGTTCGTTTTTAGGGCTCACCATCAAACTTCAACGACTGATAATTTGCACAAACTTTGACCAATTTCACTCAAATTTTAATCGTGACTTTACACCTCAACCCTGAACAGATTAATGTAAGGAAATATAAAAAAGGGTGCAATAGCGCCCCCTAGAAAATTTGTATGTAAAAATAAGGTTTTATTTGTCACAGATATACAAAATTTGGTATCCACATGCATCATGGCAATAAGAACAAAAATGTATATTGTGACCACGCCCCTTTACAAACCGGAAGTCCACCATCTTGGATTTTTTTTTTTTTTTTGCCAAATTTTGAAAATTGCAGAAAATTAAATTTAACATTTTTAGGTTTAGGGTTGGGGCTATGGTTAGGATTATGATTAGGATAAGGTTTAAGTTTAAGATTATTAGGGTCAGTGTGAGGCGCGGCGTTTGCGGGGCACGGCGTTTGCGGGGCGCGGCGTTTGCGGGGGCGCGGCGTTTGCGGGGGCGCGGCGTTTGCGGGGCGCGCATTTGGGGGCGCGGCGTTTGCGGGGCGCGGCGTTTGCGGGGCGCGGCGTTTGCGGGGCGGGGCGCGGCGTGAGCGCACGCGAGGGCCGATCATCGCCGCTTGCGGCTATATTTGTTGTTGTTGTCGTTGTCATTGTTGTTGTTGTTGTCGTTGTCGTGGCGTCGCTCTAACTATAAAACGCTGCAGGAAACTCTGAACCAATCACAGACGAGTTCTTCGTGAATATTAAAGAGTCGAGTCTGTGGAGCTGCACATGTAGAAGACGAATGTAAAACACAAACTGAACAAACTCACAGCCGAACGTCCTGAACTGGAACTGGAATGATTCTGCACAAATATGTGTGCGTGTCCATGTGCATGTGTGTGTGTGTGTGTGTGTGTGTCCATGTGCATGTGTGTGTGTGTGTGTGTGTCCATGTGCATGTGTGTGCATGTGTGTGTGTGTGTGTGTGTCCATGTGCATGTGTGTGTGCATGTGTGTGTGTGTGTGTGTGTGTCCATGTGCATGTGTGTGCATGTGTGTGTGTGTGTGTGTCCATGTGCATGTGTGTGTGTGTGTGTGTGTGTGTCCATGTGCATGTGTGTGCATGTGTGTGTGTGTGTGTGTGTGTCATGTGCATGTGTGTGTGTGTGTGTGTCCATGTGTGTGTGTGTGTGTGTGTGTGTGTGTGTGTCCATGTGTGTGTGTGTGTGTGTCCATGTGTGTGTGTGTGTGTGTCCATGTGCATGTGCATGTGCGTGTGTGTGTGCATGTGTGTGTGTGTGTGTGTGTGTGTGTGTGTGTGTGTGTGTGTGTGTGTCCATGTGTGTGTGTGTGTGTGTGTGTGTGTTGTACAGAACAGTGTGTCCCGTCTCCTGTTTCATGTTGTTGTTCTGAGGCTGTTGTTAGTGTCTCTGTCCACGTGAGGCCTGTATGTAGTGTATGTATATGTATATGTAGTGTGTGTGTAGTGTGTACATGTATGTGTGTGTGTGTGTGTGTGTGTGTGTAGTGTGTAGTATAAATACTGCGGTGTCGTGTGAGGGTCACATTCACACTCACTGTCAAAGACAAACGTTTAAAGGCACAGTGAGAGTTTAATCTCTTTTCTGTTTGAAATTCAGTGAGTTTAAACCTAAAACGTCTCTGATCTGAACTGAACTGAACTGAACTGTGTCCCTACACCTGCTGCAGCCTGAGTCAGAGCTGGTGACTTTTGGAGGTTCTGAGCTTCACGAGGCCTGAACATAAACTGAGCTTTTGGTGCAGTAAAAATCAGGACTTCAGTGCTGATGAGGAGTATGATTTTATTCACAGACTAAACAGCAAAATCCAAACTCCAACATGATCCTGTAGAGGAGATTAATACAAACATCTTGGTCACATAGATCCCAGGTCAGTCAGGTCAATCAGACCCAAAAATTTACTTTCAAATAAATTCTCACTAGGTGAGAAAATAAATGTTTGGGTCTGATTGATCCGCCCCGAGAGAGCGGGAAGAATTATTTTTTTCTTTTCGGGTCAATGTGACCCTGAGGACAGCGTGAGGTTAAGACCAGAACACAGAGGCTCACAGCAGCAGGTACAGAGACGCGAGAGAAGATTCTGATGGAACTGGAGCCAGGGTCAGTGGAGCCGGAAGTGTCCCCATGTTCACTTCCTGTTTGGAACACAGCAGTGAGCTCATCACCTCCGTCCAGTCAGTGAGAACTCTGAATTATATTTATGGGACGATCGGAGTTATTTTCCTCAAATGATGTGATTTAAAACTCATCCAAAACCTGTTTTTATCACAAACGTTGAGTCGACTGGTGCAGTCACAGTTTGTGTCGTGTCTTCAGCCTCACGTCTTTACCTCCTGTGATCACCAGGATGACTCTGTGTGTGTGTGTGTGTGTGTGTGTGTGTGTGTGTGTGTGTGTGTGTGTGTGTGTGTGTGTGTTGTGTGTGTGTGTCCTGTGTCTCTTCATGGTTCACGTGTGCAGAGTCAGAGCTCGGTCGTCTGTGCATAAACACTCTGGCATGTGGAGTGGTTCTGGTGTGAAGGTCACATGTCCACACATCACATGACCCCAGGCTCTGATTGGCCGTTTCCCTGCCACACCCCAAAAAAACATCCACTCTGTACATTATGTTACAGAACACAGGCTTTTGTTTTTCTCTAGTGTTTTGGTTTCTTAAAGGTCATGTGGAGGATTTTTAAGTTTTAAATTGTCAGTGAAAGTTTAAAATACCATAACAGAGACGCAGCAGCTTTGTAATTATGACGACCAAAAAAAAAAAATTAAAATCTATCAACTGTGGACGTGTTGAGGCCAGATAAACATCAGCCAATAGAAAACGAGGCTCCCTCATTTTCTATTGGCTGTTTGGTCGTCAATCAAACTCCCTTCATTTCTAGTGTAACTGACTCATCGGCGTGTGGGGATTATCTGGTTTATGCAGCGGTTCTTAGAGGCTTTTTCAAACTGTCGCTTCGTCGCATTTCGCACAAAGTTTGTCGCGATGTTGGACGAGAATCCACGACCAGTTCGCCGCAAAAATAGTCTCGTTTTTGAGGTCGCTGAAAGAAGAAGAGAAGGGGAAAAGGTGCAAAGACAAACTGAGGTGATTCTTGGAGATTTCTTCCAGCGATGGCGTGAATGAAGCAGACGAAGGGTCTAAAAACTGACGCGTCGGTCGATAAAATATTTCTAAACAGGAAACTTCAACAGTAATTCTGAACGTGCACTGGATGTAAACAAGTGTGATTTCTAGAGTAAAGAGGCGGGAGGAGGAGATGTTTCTACTGAGGCTGTGGAGGAGGAAGGAGGTGTCACACATGCACAACATCTGAAAAAGGACTGTCGCTGTATTTCAAAAAAATCCTCTGTACAACCTTTAAAGGAGGTTTAATAAAGTAAACACCAGACACAGACACGTTTACATGATGATTTTTAATTCTCAATTGTTCTGAATTAAAATATTCTCCTTGGAGCTGACATGAAAATAATAATTCTGAACTGAGGTTTCTGTGGAAAAGTGCGTTAACTTGTGAGTAAAAATGACAAAATATTTGATGGGAAGTGTCTTTCGTTTAGACGGTGACGGAGTTTTTGGGGCTTAAAAACACAAAAATCTGAACCCACCTCCAGAGTGTAAAAGTTGAATATTCTCCACCGTAGAGTTTCTGTCTCCACTGACCAAGACACAAAACTCTGGTCACATGTGCTCAGGTCGTGTACGAGTTTACGTCACAAACAAACAGGACACACAAACATCCCAACAAATGTGTAGAATGTGCAGAGACACTGTTAGTGACAGAGAAGATCTACAATCACCTCTGTCAGACTCTGGACGCACCAGGTCGTCTCAGTCGAGTCAGACGGATCTGGACCAGACCTGGAGAACCAGTGGATGGTGGGACGACTTTGTGGAAGGAGGAGCTGATGAAAATGTGTGGAGTGAAAACTTCTGTATGTCCAAAGACAAACACACACAATCCAATTCACACACTTTTGTGTCACCGTCTGCAGCAGATTTACTCCTGAAAACACTCGACTAAACCACCAAGAAAAAGTGAAGACGCGACGACACTTTTGTGTTTCTGTTTAGACCCTCAGCATGTAAACGTGGACTAAGGCTGCGTTCAGTCTGCACCTGAAGTGACCCACACCAGATTTTAAGTTCGTTCACATTAACTGGAAATGTGAACGACCTCGAAAAAACATCGGATTTCACAAAAAAATTGGAATTGAGCGTTAAGCTCTGCAGTCTGAACGGAGACTAAATGTTTTTTATTTCATGTGTGTGAGCGTCTGGGGGGAGGTTCTGATTGGACAGAAACACCAACGGATTTACGTCTTTGGGAAGAAAACACTTCAGCTGCTCCCAGCTTTTCCGTCGTCTGGGTTTGTCTTTCCTCCACGAACACAAACACCATCCAAACTTTTCCTGCAGTGGTTCTGATGATAATTGCGCAGCTGCTCGATTTCCGTTTTCAGCTGCAGATTTCACGACTCGCAGCAGGACAGAGGCTCTTTCTGCAGGAGACATGCGCAGTAGAGCCAAGTGACAGTGGTGCAGGAGGAACAGGAGCAGCAGATCCTCACACACAAGACTAGAACCTCTCCACACTTCACCAAAAACATCTGAACACAGAAGTCACAGGAAACACACAAACCAGGAACAAAAGTGCCACTTATAGTCTGAGAAATACGGTAAATATTTAAAGCTGAAAATGTCTCTAGTTGAGGAAACCTTTACAAACATTTACTCATTTTCGCAGATGCAAGAAATGGAGTAATAATAAAATGATACATTTATAGTTTTAATAGTCATTTTATTCATCTAATTTTAGTTTGTAGATTCAGAAAACCTCTTGGAGCTGCAGTTTTGAGCTCCTGGTTTAGTTGGAGTCAGTGACACAGAGGAAACCGGAAGGACACAGGGAGGTGAAGTCAGCTGCTTCTCTTTCTCTCTCTGTTTCTCCCTCCGTCTCTCTTTCTTTCTACTCCCCTCCCTCTCTCTCTATTCCTGTTGTCTCTCTTTCTTCTGCTTTCTCTCCCATCTCGCTCCCTCCCTATATTTATCTCCCTGCATCTCTCTCCATCCCCTTCCCCCTCTCTCTCTCTCTCTCTCTCTCTCTCTCTCTCTCTCTCTCTCTCTCTCTCTCTCTCTCTCTCTCTCTCTCTCTCTCTCTCTCCGTCTGTGACCTTTCCCCCAGTTTGTTGTCGTCAGAGGAAGTGTGAAGTGTCGTTGTTGCAGTTGGCTGTGGTCGACCTCTTTGACTTTTCTTTCGCTATAGACCTACATGTGGAAATAAACAGTATATTCACATGTCTTATTCACATGTTTTATTCACATGTTTTATACACATGTTTTATACACATGTTTTATACACATGTTTTATTCACATGTCTTATTCACATGTTTTATTCACATGTTTATCTGTGTTTATCTGTGCGCCTCAAATCTAAACCATCAAACCGATAAGTCGGATCATAAAGTGTAACAGTGTTTTTCTCTCAGGTGTTTGTTTTTTCCGTGACTCTAGAATCAAACTCTTGACTCACACGAGGCAGTGAGAGGATTTATTTTAGGCACATAACACGTTTGTGTCTGTGACAGTTTTATTTATGACTCCTGTGGATCTTTATGTTCATTTGGCAGAGGTGGGACTTTAAACACACGACCTGGACTCGAAGTCAGACTCAAGTCGCCAATTTAACTTGAGACTCGACTTGGACTTTGATGTGTGGATCTTAATTTGTTTAATCTCATTAATACTTGTTGATTCTTCTGGTAGATCAATTTTCTTTTGCTTTGTTCCTGATTGTTTGGATGTAAGATCAGTTTTGGCTTAAATGATCCTTGTTCTCTGAGGTTTGTGAGATTCATTTAACAGAATGAAATTCATATGAATTTTAAAAATGGAGAAACGTCTTCGTGGTTGATGTCGAAACACTGTGCAAAGGTTTAGTAAATTCACAATAGAAATCGATGTAAACACGGCTTATTTAGCAGAACTTTTGAATGTCTTTGTGTCTGAAGATTTGAAAAGACTTGAACATTTAAGTTTAAGGACTTGGACTCAACTTGGACTTGTGGACCGCAGACTTGGGACTTGACTCGGACTTAAGACCAAAGACTTGGGACTTGCTAAACAACGACCTGTTTCCACTTTTGACATCTGGACTGATGTTCTCATGGTTCTCACATTTCAGACTTGATTTTGATACAAAGGAACAGAGTTGATACGACGGACGCGACTGAAAACATGTTTAAAAAGTACAGAAATAAAATTAATTCTGGAGCGGAGGACACTTTTTTGTTTAGGAATCAAATTGTGTCTCAAATCCTAACGCTAATTTTAAGGCATCAAAAATATTCAACACTACAAACAAACATTCATACGAACACAACTCTTAAATAGTCTTTATTTTAATTATTTTAGATTTTAATGTGTTGTTCATTTTGTGTTTTATGATTTTAATAAACGTTGAAGACTTGCTCGTGTGCTGCTGTGCTCCGAGTCGGTCGTGACGTTTCTTCTCAGTGTAATGATGAGACTAAAGCTGTTGTTTTTGCGGGTGCTCCTCAGGTACTCCCAGAGCCTGCTGGACCTGGTGGACTTCTTGGAGGAGGATCCCTACGACAAAGACGTCCTGAAAAAGTGAGGCTCTTTCTCTCTTCACAGATTTTTACCCTGATGAACAGAAACACTGAATACAGAACCACTCGCCGTCGTCTCCTCGTCTTCTTCACTTCTGAGTCGGACCGTAGACTGTAAAAATGCTGTTGGTCAAATCTCTTTGCTAACTACACTTTTTCAATACAAAGTGAATTGGAGCTAGAGCTGGTGGAGCCCATGATCACTTCCTGTTTGGACCGCAGCATTTATATTCACAGTCTGTGGTTCTGACACAGCTCTGGTAAAAAACTGGCTTAAAATGCAGCTCCAACCCAAACAGAAACAAAGAAAACAGGAGATTAAAACATCAAAATTATATTAATATTGTGATCTGTACTGAATAGATCTTTTTCACAGCGTCTGAAGTGTCTCGCTGTAGGTTTGTGGAACTTCCTGTTAATGTTTTTCTGTGTAAATGTGTGTGTAAATGTGTGTGTAAATGTGTGTGTAAATGTGTGTGTAAATGTGTGTCATTCTCCAGCAGCTTCATAAATCAAACAAAACAAAACAGACACACTTCTTACATCCACAACAAGGAGATTTAATGTTCTGAAACGTATCAAACATTAAGGCGGTGAGGAGGTCACACTGGGACTTCAGAACCATGTCCAAGCTCAGATCTCGTCTAAAGCCTCGTACGTTTGTCCACAGCTGAGACTTTGGCTCGGCTGAACGAGGACTTTAGTCAACGAGTCCTTTGTGTGTGTGTGTGTGTGTGTGTGTGTGTGTGTGTGTGTGTGTGTGTGTGTGTGTGTGTGTGTCTCTGTGTGTGTGTGTGTGTGTGTGTGTGTGTGTGTGTGTGTTGTGTGTGTGTGTGTGTGTCTCTGTGTGTGTGTGTGTGTGTGTGTGTGTGTGTGTGTGTGTGTGTGTGTGTGTGTGTGTGTGTGTGTGTGTGTGTGTGTGTGTGTGTGTGTGTGTGTGTGTGTGTGTGTGTGTATCGCAGCACGACTCAGATCTGCAGAGACGTCGAACTGCACAAATCTCTGTGTCTGTGCAAATATTGATCATGAAACTGATTTTAATAGTAACAGTTGAACGAGTCTGAGTGAACAAGTTCCTTCTGTTTTCTTCAGGATCAGAACATGAGTTGAGTTTGTTGTGTGACTCATGTGACTTGTCGTTCGTTTTCTTTAAGTTTTGTTCTTTTTACTCATGATAGTTGTGGATAAATTGTTCATGAAGAACAGGAGTGTCAAACATACGGCCCGGGGGCCAGATCTGGCCCTCCAAGACCTTTAATGTGGCCCTCGACTGATTTTCTACTCAAATATTTGAATGATATTTTCTATTACCCAAAACATGCTCCAGGTCTCCAGAACAGTTGATAGTCAAGGTTAGTTAAATACAATCAATCAATGAACCTGTCCAGGGACGACAGGTGGAAATTAGCACTGATGCTACAACCTGATGTACAATGCATCTCTCCTGTCAAGGTTAATGCGAAAATTGTGCCCTGTCCCTGTCTCAAATAAATAAATAAATAAATAAATAAATATTAAAATGTTAATTTTGTGTGGTGTTTATCACAGCAGCGTCTCCAGCGTCTCTGTACGTGGCCCCTCCCACCAGAGCAGCACAAATGAAGACTTGTCTCTTTCCAAACGCTCTTAAAGGACGATGGTTTTGACTGTTGACCGTGACACCCTCATCAGAAAAAATGTCCAACATGAGAAAAGTGGAGCCGAGTGCAGGATTTTACAACAAAAATGGACTTATTCCTGTTTACAGACAAGTTCATGTTCAAACTTTGTGTTGAAATTGTATTTTTCTTAAAGTTTCAGGTTGTTCATAATATTATAATATTATAATAAGAAAGAGTTCATCAATTCAAAAAGATTTATGTAATAGATTTGTGTTTCTCTGCACAAATATTTGAACTTCTTGTTATTTTTGGGGTTTATATGACATGAGTTTTCTGATCCGGACACTTTGGATCAAAGTCGGTTGGATACGACCCCCGGAACAAACTGAGTTTGACTCTCCTGATGTAGAATGTTTCTCCTTTGTGGAGTTTGTTGGTTTTGGTGATGATGATGTGACATTTATACACACATTTTATTCAGCACAAAAGGTCTGTTGTAATAAAACTGTTTGGTCAAACTTTGGGGTAATTCAAAGGTTCGTGCTCAGCTTCACCAGCCTGTGCCCTGGTCTCTGTGCCCAGTTTCACCAACCTGCTGATCACCATCCGGAGTCGCCACAACAACGTGATGCCCACGATGGCGCAGGGAGTACTCGAGTATAAAGACGCCTTCGGAGTCGACCCGGTCACCAACCAGAACGTGCAGTACTTTCTAGACCGATTCTACATGAGCCGCATCTCCACACGCATGCTCATGAACCAGCACAGTGAGTACTACTACTACTACTACTACTACTACTACTACTACTACTACTACATCTCCACACGCATGCTCATGAACCAGCACAGTGAGTACTACTACTACTACTACTACTACTACTACTACTACTACTACATCTCCACACGCATGCTCATGAACCAGCACAGTGAGTACTACTACTACTACTACTACTACTACTACTACTACTACTACTACTACTACTACTACTACTACTACTACTACTACTACTACTACTACTACTACTACTACTACTACTACTACTACTACTACTACTGACTACTACTACTACTACTACTACTACTGACTACTACTACTACTACTACTACTACTACTACTACTACTACTACTACTACTACTACTACTACTACTACTACTACTACTACTACTACTACTACTACTACTACTACTACTGCTACTACTACTACTACTACTACTACTACTACTACTGTACTACTACTACTACTACTACTACTACTACTACTACTACTACTACTACTACTACTGTACTACTACTACTACTACTACTACTAGCTAGTAGCACTAGTAGTACTGTACTACTACTACTACTACTACTACTACTACTACTACTACTACTACTACTACTACTACTACTACTACTACTACTACTACTACTACTACTACTACTACTACTACTACTACTACTACTACTACTACTACTACTACTACTACTACTACTACTACTACTACTACTACTACTACTACTACTACTACTACTACTACTACTACTGCTACTACATCTCCACACGCATGCTCATGAACCAGCACAGTAAGAAGTACTACTACTATTACTACTACTACTATTCCTGCTGCTACTATTTACATGGGCATAAAGTTAATGATTGACTATCACTACAACAACTACTACAACTATTTGTACTACTTACTGTACTTCCTATGATAACAGAACAAATATTAACACAGGAATAAAGTAAGAGTAAGGGTGACGACAACTTCTACTACTACAACTACTACTACTTCTACTACTACTTCTACTACTACTTCTGGTTGTGAAGTCCGTGCTCGTGTTGCAGCTCTGATCTTCGACGGCAGTAACCAGGCTCACTCTAAACACATCGGCAGCGTGGACCCGTCGTGTGACGTCACAGAAGTCATCCAGGGTGAGTCCTGTCCACTGTTTGGTTTGTGATTTGTAAAACCTTTGTCACACCAAAACTCCATCCACAAAACAGAGACAGTTTACGCAGGACGACGGCATTTTCCTGACAGATTCAACTTTAAACAAACAGAGTTCACCAATTTGTTTACTCCACAATCTTTATGTTACTTTTAAAAGGCAGACCTGCTTCTTCTGAGAGATCATACTTCACTCTGATTGGTTAATTCCTCCACAGCAAATGTGTAGAGTTGAATAGACTTTGGAATGACATTTGGGCCCAGTGTGCTGCCCCCTACTGGACAAAGTTGTTTCCGTATCGTCTGTTTCACACATGTGGACGTCTGTGTGACTCGGGGACATGGGCTGGGTTCTGTCTCTCAGAGTGACTCTGTCAAACACCAAACACAACAGTCTCATGATGACATAACAGGTGGACTTCATCACCGCTGTGTCCGACCTGAGCTCGTCGTTCGTCTGTGTTTACACGGACAGATTCAGACACACGTGAACCTCCCATCGATCTCAGCACCAAAAGAGTTTTATAAAGAACTCCCAGCCTCACAGGAGTGTTTGAGAGGAATAAAAGCCTCTGTTTCTTTGTGTTTTCTCTTGATGTTTGTTTGGTGTGAGTCCACAGACGCTGAGAGGTTGGAGGTTTGATTCCCTCCTGTGCTCTTTGTGCAGACGCCTACGAGACGTCCAAGATGCTGTGTGAGCAGTACTACCTGACCTCCCCCGACATGGAGATCACACAGGTGAACGGTGAGTCCTGCACCGACACTCTGACACTCTGACACTCTGACACTCTGACACTCTGACACTCGGACACTCGGACACTCGGACACTCGGACACTCGGACACTCGGACACTCGGACACTCGACACTCGGACACTCTGACACTCTGACACTCTGACACTCTGACACTCTGACACTCTGACACTCTGACACTCTGACACTCTGACACTCTGACACTCTGACACTCTGACACTCTGACACTCTGACACTCGGACACTCTGACACTCTGACACTCTGACACTCTGACACTCTGACACTCGGACACTCGGACACTCTGATACTCTGAGCTGCTGCTCCTGTTGTCTGTGAGGAGGAGGAGGAGGAGGAGGAGGAAGAGGAGGAGGAAGAGGAGGAAGAGGAGGAAGAGGAG